GCAAATGTGACATAGATTCCATCTATGCCTTTACCTAAGCAAGTGAAAATACAAAAGCCAATTTCAGGTCCTTCCATTTTGAGAGCCATCAATTATCCAATCCAAGCTAGCTAACAGCTTGAAAGCACAGAGAGGAAAAGACAGCACAGAGAAGGTAAGACAGCACAGACAGGGATCGAGGGGAGGAGTTTGAAGGACATAGTTGGCAAGGTTATTAAATCAGGGGAATACTGTAAACACAGCATTAGTGAAGAGAATTTATGCTTATAAGTGTCATGCTATCCACTTCTGAAATTAAATGTTCTTATGAACAGAGCAGAACTATACGAAAAGAGGTATACAGGTAGCCCACTTCAATGTCTCTCATGACAACCTACCCACATGCTCTCAGAATCCCTGACTCAAAATATCCATGTATAGGCGTTTTTCCTTTCCTAAAAGAGAAGATAAAACACACCCTAGACACAGGAAAAAATCTGCATTTCTAATTTCAAAATACAAAGGGATGATTTCTGACCAAGCTGTATAGAACAGGAGCTAGCCCATTTATCTTATTTTTTTTTAACTAGTTGGTTAAGCCTAACAGTATTGCTGAAGCCCAAGCATACTGAGTTTTCTTTCATCCCTGCCTTGCCAACGCAAAAGCTATTCTCTCTGCCCATGTGTCTCTTAGGACACTGAGTATCAGACATACTTAATATATGCTAAATAATCACTGTAGCTCCCAGGACTAATCTGGGAGGTTAAAGAGTATTTTTGCTTGAGCCAGAGTCAAGATGGTGGAGTAAAGGTAGGGACTGGACTGAGCTCTCCCCCAAACCCCTCCAAATACCTTTAAAAAATAACTCTAAACAAATTCTAGAGCAGCAGAACCCACAAATACAGGGAGTGAAACAAATTCCCAGGCCAAGACAATTTGGAATGTTGGCAAGAAAGGTCTGCTGCACCAGGGTAAGAGAGGAACACAGTCCAGCACAGACCATACCAACACAGACCTGACCCAGGCAAACCCGGAGGAGGCCTTAGGGCAACTGAATCAGTGGCAGCAGTGGCAGTTTCTAGACCTCTCAGCCCACAGACGCCAAAGACAACTTAGAAGGTCAGCAGGAAAGGTCTGTCACATCTGGATGAAAGTAGAGCCCAGTCCAGCACTCGCCACACCAGCATAGACCTGGCCCCAGCAAACCAGAAGCAGGCCTTGGGACTGACTGAATCATCAGTGGCAGTGGCTGCTTTCAGAGCTCTCAGACCAAGACGGGGGACTGAAGGTCAGAAGGAGAGGGTCTTTTTGCTAGCACTGAGGCAGGACTCTGTTGCTTTGCCCATACTTGGATCTTGGTCACAATCCTAGGTGGCAGTACCAGGGCAAGAAGGAGCACTAGCATAGCACAGCTTGTGGCCACAGTGAAGGGGCGACTCTCCTCACAGTTCTAGGACAGAAAAGAGTGCTTGTGGTCACTCATAGACCACAGCACAGGCCAGGAGAGTAGTAAACACCTCTCCTTGGATTGTACCACCTTGAAAGAACTGAAAACCTACAGGTCCCTAGAAGTATATCTGAAAACAGCTGCACAAAACCCCTGAAGCTTGGGACAGTACACCTCCACACTGGAAGCAGAGCCCTACTGTAACAGAGAGTTAAAAGTCTCACTATTTGGGACAGCTAGGTGGCGCAGCGGATAGAGCACTGGCCCTGAAGTCAGGAGGACCTGAATTCAAATCCGGCCTCAGACATACTAGCTGTATGACCTTGGGCAAGTCACTTAACCCCAACTGCCTTACCAAAAAAAAAAAAAAGTCTCACTATTTAAAGTTACTATGGTGACAAGGAAGACCAAAACATACACTCAGAAGAAGATAAAGTCAAAACTCTTACATCCAAAGCCTCCAAGAAAAACATGAATGGGTCTCAGGACTGGAAGAGCTCAAAAAGGATTTTGAAACTCAATTAAGGTGGGGCAGCTAGGTGGCACAGTGGACAGAGTACCGGCTCTGAAATCAGGAGGACCTGAGTTCAAATCCAGCTTCAGACCAAACACTTGACACTTGCTAGCTGTGTGACCCTGGGCAAGTCACTTAACCCCAATTGCCTAAAAAAAAAAAATCATAATGGAGCAAATGGAAGCTAAATAAGAAATCAAGAAACAATAAAACAAAATCAAAAGAACAGAAAAATAGAAGACAATGTAAAATATCTCATTGGAAAAACAACTGACCTGGAAAATAGATCCAGGAGAGATAATTTAAAAATTATTGAACTACCTGAAAGCCAAAAAAATAGCCTAGACAACTCTCAAGGAAAACGGCCCTGAGATTCTAGAACCAGAGGTTAAAATAAAAACTGAATGAATCCACTGATCACCTCCTGAAAGAGATCCCAAAATGAAAACTGTCGACAATATTATAACCAAATTTCAGAGTTCCCAGGTCAAGGAGAAAATAATTGCATGCAGCCAGAAAGAAACAATTCAAGTATTATGGAGCCACAGTCAGGATACACAAAATTTAGCAGCTTCTTCGTTAAAGGATAAGAGGGTTTGGAATATGATATTCCAGAGGGCAAAGAAGCTAGGATTACAACCAAGAATCACCTACCCAGCAAAACTGAGTATAATCCTATAGGGGAAAAAAATGGACATTCAGTGAGACAGAAGACTTTCAAGCATTCTTGATGAAAAGATCAGAGCTGAATAGAAAATATAACTTTGAAATACAAGACTCAAGAGAAGCATAAAAAGGTAAATAGGAAAAGGGAAATCATAAGGGACTTAATAACTTTAAACTTACATTCCTACATGGGAAGATGATATTTGTAATTCAAAAAATCTTTCTCATTATTAAGGTAGTTAGAAAGAGTATACAGTACAAGTGTGAGCTGAATATGAAGGGATGGTATCTAAAAAATAAAATTAAGGGGTGAGAGAGAAATGTACTAGGAGAAAGAGAAAGGGTGGGTAGAACAGGGTAAATTATCTCACATAAAAGAGGCAAGAAAAAGATTTTACAGTGGAGGGGAAGAGGGAGGGAGAAGGTGAGGGAAAGTAAGTGAACCTTACTCTCATCAGAACTGGCTCAAAGAGCCACTCGGGTATACGAATCTATCTTACTCTACGGTAGTAGGAAGGGAAGGGGATAAAAGAAAGGGGGCTGACAGAGGGGAGGGCAGATTGGAGGAGGGGGTAGTCAGAAGCAAAACACTTTTTAGGAGAGACAGGGTGAAAGGAGACAGAGAATAAAATAAATGGGGGAGGGGAGATGGTGGGAAACATAGTTAGCAATAGTAAATGTGAAAAAAATTTTGAAACGGGTTTCTTTGATGAATGCCTCATTTCTCAAGTGTGTGGAGAACTGAGTCAAATTTGTAAAGATGAGAGCCAATCCCCAATTGATGGATGATCAGGGGATAGGATCAGTTTTCAGATGGGGTAACCAAGGCTGTCTCTGGCCATGTAAGGGGATGCTCTAACTCACTATTGATTGGAGAAATGCAAATTAAAACAATTCTGAGGTATTCTCTCATACCTATTAGATTGGCTATTAGGACAGAAAAGGAAAATGATAAATATTGGAAGGAATGTGGAGAAAAATGAGACATTAATGCACTGTTGGTAGAGTTTTGAATTGTTTCAACCATTTTGTAGAGCAATTTGGAACTATGCCCAACAAGTAATAAAATCGCACATACCCTCTGACCTACCAATACCACTACTAGTTCTATATCCCAAAAGAGATAAAAAACAAAAAGGAAAAGGAGCTATATGTATAAAAATATTTATAGCAGCTCTTTTCTGGGGGCAAAGAATTAGAAATTGAGGGGATGCCCATTAATTGGGGAATGGCTGATAAGAAGGATGCTCTCGGAAAAACCTGGAAAGACTTGCATAAGCTGATGAAAAATGAAATGTACTGTGTACAAAGTAACAGCAGTATCCTAAGATGATCAGCTGTGAATGACTTAGCTACTCTCAGCAATATAACAATCCAAGACAATTCTGAAGGACTTATGATGAAAAATGCTATCCATGCCCAGAGAAATAATTGATGGTGCCTGAACAGATTGAAGCATATTTTTTTACTTTTTTTTTTTTACTTTTTTTCCTATGTTTTCTTTCTCAACATGACTCCTATGCATATATTTTGCATAACTACATATGTATAACCTTTTTCAAATTGTTTGCCTTCTCATGTGGTGGGGGGGAGATGAAGGAAGGGAGACAAATGTTAAAAATTGTTTTTACATGTAACTGGGGAAAAATAAAATACTAAATAAAAAATAAAAATAAAATTTTTTTAAAAAGAGTATTTTGGTTCTGGGAATGTATTTTTTTTAACTGAATCTGGTTCTGAGCTACTGATATAATCTATTTTTTCTTACATCCATGAACTGTACCACAATTCTTTAAGTTAGTTTGGTTCTGACTATGATTACCCCAAATTTCAGCAGTGTTTTTTAATGAACAATCATTATTTTATCCAGTGAATAGGTAATTTTAGTACCTGAAAACAACTAAAATTTAAATCTATTGATGATGTTTCTGGTTCTTCTAAGGCCGATAGTCTACTTACATACTATTCTTGAAGGCAGAAAAACAAAAAATCAAATTCTTACCATCATGCAACACAGTTCAAGGAGCAATGTGCAATTTGAACATGATATCCATTAAGGAGGAAAAACAAAGTTGTTTGAAATTTTACTTATTAGAAAATGGATTTATTGAGAAGTTAGAAATAATGCCCAGAGGCCATTAACAAACCTGGACTTTCAGGTTTAAAAAATGAAATACATTCAATTGAGTGCTGGAATAAAGGCACTTTCTTTGATAAGAGATAGAGAACTGACTAGTCATTTGTTAACCTGTCCTCTTGGCATAATCCCCAAGGAAGAATAATGGTTGGGGATGGGATGCCAATGACTTATCAGCTAATAGCACTAATTAAAAAAACTTAAAAAAAAAAGCAGAAGACAAAAGTCAGCATCAGGTCCCCCTATTATAATTTACCATCCACTGCCAGTATACCAGCTCCATATGCTTCCACTCCAGAAAAGCTTCCAGGCAAGAGTTTTCTGATTCCAACTGCTGCAACAGCTGAAACAGAAAGGCAAACCCCAAATGAGAAAAGAAAGAACGCAGAGGGCATCTGTGCAGATCATCATCCTCTCAATCACCCAGACTCCCACCCCACCCCACCACAAGGAGCCTAGCAGTTGCCAAGTCTTGTTTTTACATTTGCTGCATCTCTAATAAATGCTCTGTTTTCTCTCCTGACATTGGCACCCTAGGACAGGCCCTCAACACCTCACAACTGGACTACACTATAATCAGCTGAATGGTCTCCCTGCCTCAAGTCTCTCCCCATTCCAGTCGATCTTCCCACTCTGCCAACATGATCGTCCTAAAACTCAAGTCTGAGCATGCCATCCCCCTATTTAATAAACTCCACTGGCTCCCCTAGTGCCTTCAGGGTCAAATATAAAATCTACTGTTTGGTGTTCAAAGCACTTTATGACCTGGCCCCCTCCCATCTTTCTAGTCTTTGTATACCTGACTCAATATCGAGTCACACAGTGACACTGGCCTCTCTACTTGTTTCTCTCACAAGACTTCCCATCCTCCAACTCTGACATTTTTTCTGGCCCTCCCCATGCCTAGAATTTTCTTCTTCCTTGTCTCCTCTCTGCCTCCTAGTTTCCCCGGTTTCCTTTATGTCTCAATTAAAGTCCCACCTTCTGCAAGAAGTCCTTCTAAGTTTTCCTTAATCTTAATCACACACACACTGTATACTATATAGATCCTCTTCCCACACAGGTGTTTGCATGTTGTCTCTCACATTAGACCATAATCTCCCTGACAGCAGAGCCTGTTTTTTGACTTTCTTTAAATCCCTAGCACTGTGTAGCACACATACTAGGTACTTTAAAAATGCTTGCTTGACTTGACCATCAAGAAACTTTTTATTAAGTGGATACAATATGAACAAAAGTAAATACAAAATTAATAGCAAATAATACAGACATCTGGCCAAACAACCAATAATATGGAGGGCTAGACATTTTTTCTTATCCTAAAAACCTCTGTCAAATTTCTCCAAAACAGGAATTATGCACCAGAGGTAAAGCAATTTCAGTTGTCTTGACAATCTAGGGCATCAAGAACCCAAACAAGATAAAAATTAAGTGAACTAACAGCACAAAAAGCCAATAATCCCTAACCACTAATTCTCACTCAGCATACCCTACCCGACTCTACCACACTCTGGGCAACAAAACTTCATGAGACTACCCATGCTTGAATTACTCAGCTTGGGAGGAGCTGAGACTCTTTTAGATTGAACTACTAAGAAGAAAGAGTTAGAAAGTGAGCAAAGACTGAAGTTACCAGAAATATCAGGAAGAAGAAAACTCAAAGACCCAGAAAATAAACATATAAACCAGCAGGTGGCAGAAGGAAATATGGCCTCCAAATCAAGGAAAGGAATTCAAGTACCTATGAATAAATAACACAAGACAAAGAAAAAATTTTCAACATCTGATAAGGCAGAAGACACTTAGTGTTGTAATCCAGCAAAAAGGAGTGCTCCTGCTGGAGGGGAGGGTGTGCTCTACTGGGAAGAGAAATGTTGAAAAGAAACGGGGATGAAGGAAGATTAGCACTTTCAGAACTCAAACTGTATTATAAAGCAGTAGTCAACAAAACCATCTACTATTGGTTAAAAATATAAAACTACAGATCAATGGAACAGATTAGATAAGAGAGAATTAAAACAATTAACTCAAATAATCCAATGTTTGAGAAAGTAGAAAACAAATTACCTAGGAAAAAACTCCTTATCTGACAAAAACAACTGAGAAAATTGGAAAGCATTTAGGGTCAGGCGTAGAGCAACACTTTACACCATATTCTAGAATGCATTCCGAATGGATACATGACCTTAATATTCATCCTATTAAAAAATTGGAATAGAAGCAGATCATATACTTCTCACAGCTATGGATAAAAGATATAAGATATGGATATAGAGGCATAAGATATAAGATACATAGGTAATTATAAAAGATAAAATAGATAATTTTGATTACATGAAACCGAAAAGCTTTTGCACAGATAAAATCAATAAATCTAAGAAAGGAAATAGTCAAATAGAAAAAAAATCTTTGTATCAAATTTCTCTGCTAAGGGTTTGGTATCACGATATTTAAAGCTCATTAAAAAATAGAGTTGGCCAAATGAAAAAGGAGGTAGAAAAATCCACTGAAGAAAACAACTCCTTAAAAAGCAGAATTGGCCAAATGGAAAAGGAGAAAAAAGCTAACTGAAGACAATAATTCCTTAAAAATTAGAATTGCGAAAGTGGAAGCTAGGAGACATCAAGAATCTATCAAACAAAATAAAAAGAATGAAAAAAAAAAGAAGAAAATGTAAAATACTGTGGAAAAAACAAATGACTTAAAAAATAAATCCAGGAGAGATAATTCAAGAATTATTGGACTACTTGAAAATCATGAACAAAAACAGAACTTGGATGGCATCTTTCAAAAAATGATCAAGAAAAAATGCCCTGATATCCTAGAACCAGCGGGTAAAATAGTAATTGAAAGAACCCATTGATTGCCTCCTGAAAAAGATCCCGAAATGAAAACTCCCACGAATAGTATAGCCAAATTCCAGAACTCTCTGGTCAATGAGAAAATACTTCAAGTAGCCAGAAAGAAACAATTCAAATGTCGAGGAGTTATGGCTATAAGAAATTATATTAATTATTACGACTGTGCTACAAGAAAAAATGAGCTCAATGATTTTTGAAAAACATGGAAAGACTTGCATGAAATAATCAAGAGCAAAATGAACAGAACTAGGAGAACACTGTAACAGTAATATTGTTTTAAGAATGACTTTAAGTGAATAAATTATTTTGTCTATGATAAATACGCAAATTAACTATAAAGGACACATGAAGAAAGATGCTATCTGCATCCAGAGAAACAACTGATAAACAGAAACATAAGTAGAATAATTTTACATATATATACCTTTTTGTATCTAATAGTAGACATCAGTAGGCCATGGCTGGGCGGGGTGGGGAGGGTTGGGAGGAGAAAAAAAGAGAAATTTACATGACAATTTTGTTGTATATTTGAAAGGAATAGCAAGTTGTGCATAGCAGATTTGCAGTTTCATGTACAATCATCTTTTTTATTGTACTATATTATGGAAATGCTTGTTTTATTCCATAAACTAAAAATAAAATTTTTAAAAATCTATAATCTTAGATAATTCTTCTCATCTTACAATCACAGCTGTAGTCAGAAGCAAAATACTGATGAGGAGACACATGATGAAAGGAGAGAGGAAAAAAAGTCATAACTGTGAATGTGAATGGGATGAACTCACCCACAAAATGAAAATGGATAGCAGAGTCAATTAAAAACCAGAATCCTATAATACACTGTTTACAAGAAACACATTTGAAGCAGAGAAACACACACAGACTAAAGGTAAAAGGCTGGAGCAGAATCTATTACGCTTTAGCTGAAGTAAAAAAAAAAGTAGGGGTAGCAATCACGATCTCAGAAAAAGCAAAAGTAAAAACAGATCTAATTAAAAGAAACAAGGAAGGAAATTACATCTTCCTAAAAGTTACCATAGACAATGAAAAAGTATCAATATGCCATAGACAATGAAGTAGTATCAATATTAAAACATATATGCATCAAATGGTATAGCATCTAAATTTTTGAAAGAGAAACTGAATGACTTACAGGAGAAAACAGACAGTAAAACTATACTAATGGGGGACCTCAATATTCTCCTCTCAGAACTAGATAAATTTAACCAAAAAATAAACAAGAAGTTAAAGAGGTGAATAAATTTTTAGAAAAGTTAGATGTGATAGATCTCTGGAGAAAACTGAATGAGGACAGAAATGAATATACCTTTTTCTCAGCAGTACATGGCACCTACACAAAAACCAACCACAGCAAAGGATTTGTTCTATGAAGTATGGATTCAATCAAAGGGCCACATATGAGAACCTAGAGGGCCACATGTGACCTTGAGACCACAAGTTCCCCACCCCTGCAATGTTTAATGCATCCTTTTCAGATCATGATACAATAAAAATTACATTTAATAAAGGGCAAGGGAAAGACAGATTAAAAATTAATTGGAAACTAAATAATCTAATCCCAAAGAATGATAGGTCAAAGAACAAATCATAGAAATAATCAATAATTTCATCAAAGACAATGACAACAATGAGAACACAGACTAAAATTTATGGGATGTAGCCAAAGCAGTACTTAGGGGAAATTTTATATCTCTAAATGCTTACATGAATAAATAGAGAAAGAGCAGATCAATGAACTGGGCATGCAACTAAAAAAGCTAGAAAAAGAACAAATTTAAAATCTTCAATTAAACACCAAACTGGAAATCCTAAAAATCAAAGGAAAAATTAATAAAATTCAAAGTAAGAAAACCATTGAACTAATAAATAAAAGTAGAAGCTAGTTTTATTTTAAAAAAAAACAATAACATAGGTAAAACATTGGTTAATTTGATTTTAAAAAAGAAAGAAAAAAGAAAACCAAATTACCAATATAAAAAATGAAAAGGGTGGAGTGAGAAGAGACTTCTGGTGCCAAGATGGCAGAGTAAGGAAGGAACCCCTTGAGCCTCCCAACAAATTTACCTCCAAACAACTTGAAAACTGTTGTAGAACTGATTGAGAAGTGGGGAAGCAGCAGGAAAGGTCTATCTCACTGGGGTGAGAGGTCAGCAAGGTCTGAGAGCAGCCAAGAGTCAGCCTCACAGCAAAGGGTATGTAGCAAAGCCCAAAGCCCTCAGCAATCCACCAGCGGCCCTGCTCTCCAGCAAGCCAGCACCTCCTCCCCAGGCAAGCAAACAGTCTGCTGCACAGCAAGGCCCCCCACCCCCAGGATAGGCCATAAGTGAGGCCTCACCCCCACTGCTGACCATTAATCAGGCTCTGCCCCTGGGGCTAGCCAACTGCAAGATCCCTCCCATAGGGCCAGCCATCAGAGAGGCCTTGTTTCCATAGCAACAGAACAGTAAAGCTGTTCCACAAACAAAATACTCCATCTCTTGGTTCTGGGTATTTATTTTCTCTGTCTGTCCCCTATGTGCCTGAAATGCTCTCCCTCATTCACTTCAACTACTGACTGCCCTGGCTTCCTTTAAATCCCAACTAAAATCCCATATTTCCTGGAAGGCTTCCCCAATTGCTCTTAATTCTAGTGCCTTCCTTCTATTAATTATTTCCTATTAGCTAATTTTGCATACATTTGTTTACATGTTGTTTCTCAAATTAGATTGTAAGCTCCTTGAGGACACAGACTGTCTTTTGCTTTTTTTTTTTAATCCCCTGCCCCTGCACTAGGCACAATGCCTGGTACGTGGTAGTTGCTTAAGAAATATTTGCTGACTGTTAAACAATCAGAGAATAGCTACACATGCTGTGAGGTGGCAAAAAAAAAAGGCCCTTTTCATTATACATGCCCAAAAGTAGGCTCACCAAGTCTTCTCAAATTTTAATACAACCAGAAAGGGCATATCGCCCACATTCTGTAAAATCCAATCCAATAAGTAGGACGAATCCATATACACTCTAACAAGGGTCATTAACCATTAAAGCAATAAAACAAGAGAAAAAAGTTAAAGCCACTAAGATGGGGAAAGAGGAAAAAAATCTATATATTTGAACATGACGATTTACTCAGAAAATCCTCAGGAAATCAGCAAAAGAAACAAATTCAAATAATTAATACATTCAGGAAAGTAACAGCTAACTAACAAAATAACCCATGAAAATCAATAGTACTTCTGTATAGCAATAACAAAATAGGGAAAGAAATAATAAAAGAAAAGTCCAGTCAGAATAATAAAATAAATTTAATAAATAAAATAAATTCATAAAATCTGGGATAAAAGAACATCTATATAGCTACAATTACAAGATACTCCTTAAAGAAATAAAGAACAACTTAAATAATTAGGGGTTTATTAAATTGTATGGCTGGACCATAACAAAAATTAAAATACAAATGCTATAAAATTAATATACAGATCTAGTACTAGCAAGATCCAAACTAGCAAGGCGGATTCAGACCTAAAAAAAAAAAAAAATTCACTTGGAGGAACAAAAGGTACAGAACATCAAAGAAGATAATGAAAACAAGTAGAAATAAAGGGGGAAACGCACTTCTAAATCTCAAATTGTGTTAAAAAGTAGTTATCCTCAAAACTTTTTTAAAAAACTAAATAGTTTGGTGTTTAATAAACCTGAAAAAATACATTATCTAGGAAAGAACTCTCTATGTAACAAGAATTTCTGGGGAAACTGGAAAGCAGTCTGAAAGAAATTATGTTTAAACCAGTATCTCACACTATGTCAAAATAAATCAAAATATATCTGTGACCTCAATCACCTGATAAAAACTTTTATAAAAGAACTAGATTAGGTATCTTTCACAGTTATAGTTAAGAAATTCTTAATCAAAAAAAGGTAAAAGTGACTACAAAAGATAAAAAAGATAATTTCTATTACATGAAATTGAAAGTCTTTACATGAACAAAATTAATGCAATTAGGAAATGGGAAACAGTAAGGTGAAAGAAAAATCTTTTTATAAAATGTCTCTAGATACCAAGATTTATATGTAACTACCATAAATATATAAAACCAAAAGCCATTTCCCAATAGATATATTATCAAAGGATAGGAATAAATAGTTCCCAAAAGAAGAATTGAAAATTATTAGCAATCATATGAAAGAATGCTTAACCTATAAGAGAAACGTAAATCAAAAAAACCTTCAAGTTTCCCTTCATATCCAGCATGGTGGCAAAGATGAAAATAAAGAGGACTAGTCAATGTTGGAGAAAATGTGGATATAGGGGTATTTTAATACCACTGATAGAAATGTGAATTTGTACAACCTTTCTTGGAAACTTTGGAATTATGGAAGAAAGTGACTAAAGGTATCTATACTCTTTTATCTCAGAAATCCCTCTACTAGGCTTACACCCAAAGAGATAATAAAAAAGAAAGGCCCTATGTGTACTAAAATAATTATAGCAATATTTTTATGAAGTAGCAAAGAACTGGAAATAAAGTAAATGCTCATTGACTGGGACATGGCTAAGCAAATTGTCAGTCACTAAGCATTTATTAAGTACCTACTATGTGGTAAGCACTGTGATAAGTACTGGGGATAAAAAGAAAAACACAAGCTAGTCTCTGCTTTCACAGAGTTCACGTTCTAATTAGGGAGACAATGAAAACAACCACACACAAACAAGATACATACAGGATAAATTAGAGGTGTTCAATAGAGGGAAGACATTAGCAATGAGGGGATGAGGAAAGGTTTCTTACAGAAGGTGGGATTTTAGTTAGGAATTAAAGGAATCTAGGGAAGACAGGAAGCAAAGATTAGGAGAATATTCTAAAAATGGGAAATAGCCAGAAAAAATGCTCTAAGCCTACAGACAGAAAATCTTCTGTGAGGAACTACAAGGAGGCCAGTGTCACTGGATTACAGAGAACTATGGCAGGGAACAGAATATAAGAAAACTGAAAAGGTTAAAAAGGAGGCCAAATTGTGAAAGGCTTTCAGTGCCAAAAAGGATTTTATATTTTATTCTGGAGATAATCAAGCCATTGGAAATTGTGGTATGTGAAGAGTAAAGGAATATTACTGTGCTATAAGAATTGATTAATATAGAGAAGCTTGAGAAGATTTATGTGAACTGATTCAAACTGAAGCAAGCAGAACCCAGGAAAACAGTATAACACAATGATTAGAATGTAAATGCAAAAAAAACAACAAAAAACAATCAGAATTGAATGCTCTGAAATTATAATAACCAAGCTTGGCCCCAAAAAAGAAATATAAGGTCTCTCCTCCAACTTCTTAGTATAGGTAGAGGATTACAGATGTGGAACATTTATAATGTTAGACATTTTCAATATGTTGGTTAGTTTTTTTTAAAGAATTATTAATTTTAGTTTTCAACATTCACTTCCATAAAATTTTGAGTTTTAAATTTTCTCCCCCTTTCTGTTTTCCCCCTGCAAGATGGTGTGCAATCTGATATAGGCTCTTCTTATACATTCATATTAAGCATATTTTCCCGTTAGTCATGATGTAAAGAACAATTAGAGCTAACAAGAGGAACTACAAGAATGAAGCAATAAAACAAAACAACAAAAGAGCAAATAGTATGCTTCCATTTGCATTCAGACTCCATAGCTCTTATTCTGGATGTGGATAGCATTTTCCATCCTGAGTCTTCTGGAGTTATCTTAGATCCTTGCATTGCTGAAAAGAGCCAAGTCTATCAAAGTCAGTCATCGCACAGTATGGCTGTTATTGTGTACAATGTTCTCCTGGTTTTGCTTATTTCACTCAGCATCAGTTCATATAAGTCTTTCCAGGTTTTTCTTTTTCCCTCACTTTTTTATCATTTGTTACATAGGAGTTGGTTCTCCCAGAAGGGAGAGCTACATTGGGAAATGTAAGTGACATAAAATATATCAACAAAAAACATTTTTTTAAATAACAATTTTCCTGGGTCCAAGAAATTCCTGCACATGACATCACCAGTCTTACTTGCTTGCTACTTTCTGGAAACCTGAGGAGTTCTAGTTCAGGGACAGAGAGATGGCCAACGCTTGGGTCAGGATGACAGCCTCTTGTGTACAAATGAATCTGAAACACATAAAAATTAATTTTTAAAAAAATAAGCAAAAAATAACATTGGTAATTTCCAACAAGATGGTAGAGAAAAAGATCATGAAAGAGCCCAGTCACCTAATGCTCCCCCCCCAAAAAAATAGAAACTGGAACACCCAGAGAGGGAAGGAAAGAAGAAAGAAGAGAGAGGAGAGAGAAAGAGACAGAGAGTAAACACAACAAAATACTCAAAAAGAATGATCTCACAAAAAAAGAAAAAGGGAAATAAGCAAGAAAAAAAATCTATTACTATAAACAAATATGTATTATTAAAACATACCAAAGAGAAGGCATAAGAAGGGAAAAGTAATGAATTAATTTCAACAACAACCCAGGAAGTGAAACCTAGCAAAAGCCAAGTCAGACTCAATAAAAATATCACCTTAAAGGAAATAAAGGAAGATCTCAGGTCTATAAAGAAAGATCTGATATTTTTGGTGAGAGATCTATCTATGAGTAAAAATGGATCAAGACAAAGAGATAAAAATCAAGAGTGTGAAAAAGGTGGAAGAAAATATTAAAGTCAAAGAATCAATGGGAAAATAAAATTCTGAGGCTGGGAGGTCAATCAGCAGAAAACACAGAAAAAAAGATCAATGACAACTCAATTTTTAAAAATGATTTCAAAACTTTATAAGTAAAGATGGCAGTACTAGAAGACAAAGCTCAGTGAGAAAAATTCAGATTCAGAGGAGTAGGACTGCCAGGTCATGTGACCAAGAAGATGGAAGACTAAACAATTTTTCTGAACCTCACAACCTCTCAACCATATCCAAAATAGTAATTATGTACAAGAGATAAAGTAATTTCAGCTCTTTCCACAGTCTAAGATACCTAGAACCCAAAGAACTGTCAGCACAGAAGTCCAAGTAGCCCCTAATATGTTCACATAGCATCCTCTCTCAGCACTGTCTACCACACTCCAGCAGCAGCGCCACAAAAGCAGACCCACAGGCATACAAGAAAACTCAATTCTACACTCCCTCTTTGCACAGTAGCACTGTTTCAACAGAGCTCAAGCAGAGCATTCAATTTTGATTGTTTTATTGTTGTTTTTTACATTTACATGGTAGTCACTGTATATAATATACTGTTTTTCTGAGTTCTGCTTACTTCAATCTGAATCAGATCATATGTGTTCTCATGCTTCTCTATATTAATCATTCCTTACAGTACAGTAAACAACTGAAGAACTAAGGAGCCTGAGCCAAGATACCCATGCAGCCATGTGGTACTTGATGAAAACCTTAGGGAAAAAGCAAACATCCACTTGGAGCCAGTTCTGTCCATAAAGAAATCACTTAAAGGACAGACCTAGGTTAGTGGTGAGCCATGAATTGCTGCCCAATGTGGGAGGAAGCTGAGAAGCTTTCAGGTCTGATCCCAGGGAAACCATATCCAAAAACGGAGTCAAAAAGTGATAAGGGGCAATAAGAAGGGGGTTGGGGGATAGAAGATGAAACTGACAAGATCTCAGGAGGAAGAAAATGCAATTAAAGACCCTGAGGGCATGGAACCACAACAGGATGTTCCAGTATGGCTTAAAAGAGAAATAAGAATTGGGATTCAGAATTTAAGGCCCACACAACAGAAAAAATTGGCAGAATAGAAAAATTTGAATCCACTGTGGCAACAAAAGAGAGAATAAGTGATTGGCAATGAAAAGACACAGATGTGAAGGAAAATCTGGAAGAAGAGAAGCAAAAGGCAAAAACATAAAAAAGAAAATATGATCTTCATAAAAGTAAAATATATTGACCTCAAAGACTGGATGTGAAAAGAAAACTTAAGGATTATTGGGCTCTCACAAGAACACAACAACTCAAAAAAACCTCAACACCATCAAATAATAATACAAGAAAACTGCTCAAAACTTCTGAACACAGAAAACAAAGTTTTAATCAAAAGAATCCACTGACTGCCTTAAAAAAAAAAACCAATATGCTGCAAACACCAAGACAAGAATGGTTAAATAATTCCACTGACAAACAACAAATTTTACAAAGAGAAACCTTCAAATATAAAGAAATGTTCATTCAAATAACACAAAACTATCCTGTACAGAGCAGAAAATGGAGGAAGAAATAGAATAATGTGTTCTAAAGAGCAAAGAAGCTCAAGATTAATTACCCAACTTAATTAACCTTGCAAGTGAGCCTAATGAACTATGCAGGTACTGTGCTAGGCACTGGGGATACAAACAAGAAAAAGAAAAATCCCTACTCTCGGCAAAGTAGCAAGACATAAAATAAATTCACAAAAATAATCAGCCTTTTGACACATTACCTATAAAACCCAGGAAGAAAAGACACAAAAAAAGAAATTCCACTCCAAATAACTAAAAAATGTGTAAGTCCACCTGATAAGACACATAGAGGATTTGGTATGCATACAACTACAAAACACTCAGAGAAATAAAGACAAACCTGAAAAATTTGAGAAACATTAATTACTCATTGTTGGACCATGACAATCTAATAAAAATTACAATAATACCTAAGTTAATTTGGAGATTCAGTGCAATACCAAACAACTACAGAGTTAGTTTATACTACTGGAAGAAATAACAAAATACACCGAGAGTAACAAAAAACTCAAAAATCTCAGGAAACATAAAAAATGCCCCTGCTGTAAAAAGGCCTAGCTGTATCAAATCTCATGCTATACTACAAAGCAGAAACTGTGAAAATTATTTGTTACTAGTTAAAGAAATTAAAAGTTAATCAGTGGAATAGATTAGGTACACAAGACCCATAAGTAACTGAACATCATAGTACAGTGTTCAAGAAACCCAAGGATTCCAACTACTGGGATAAAGACTCACTATTTGACAAAAACTCCCAGGAAAAATGAAAAATGGTCTGGTAGAAATTAGGTTTAGATCAATATTTTACACTATATGGAGAAGACTTAGGGGAAAAAAAAAGGTCTCATCCTAAATAAATCAGAGATAGGGTCTCTTCTCTTCTCCCTTTATACCACTTCATTTGGTGATCTCATAAGATCCCATGAATTTAATTACCATCTCTACGCTGATGATTCGCAAATCTATCTATCTGGCCCCAATCTCTCTCCCTACACTCTTATATATCCAACTGTCTTTCAGACATCTCAAACATCTCTTAACCTCACTATGTCCAAAACAGAACTCATTATCTTTCCCCCTAAACCTTTCCTACCTCCTACCTTCCCTATTACTGTAGAGGGCAACACTATACTGCCAGTCCCTCAGGCTTGCAACCTAAGGAGTCATCTTGGATTCTTCAATTATCTCTCAGGTTATTGCCAAAGCCAATGGATTTCACCTTGACAACATCACTCCAAAACACCCCCTTCTCTCCTCTGACACTGTCACCACTCTATTGCAGGCCCTCATCACCTTGTGCCTTGGTAACTGAAATAGCCTGCTGGTGGGTCTGCCTGCCTCAAGTTTCTGCCCACTCCAACCCATCCTCCATTCAGCCACTAAAGTGATGTGGTCTAATCATGTCACACCTCTACTCAATAAACTCCAGTGGCTTCCTATTGTCTCCAGGGTCAAATACAAAATGCTTTGTTGATCATTCAAAGCCCTTCATAACCTAGCTCAGTCCTACCTTTCCAGGCTTCTTAAAACTTACTCCCTGCCACGTGCTCTTCAATCCAGTGACCCTGGACTCCTGGCTATTCCACCAACAAGACATTACATTCTCTCTGACTGTCTCCCATGCCTGAAACTCTCTCCCTACTCCACTAACACTACTGACCTCCCTGACTTCCTTTAAGCCTCAAAAATCCAACCTTCCATTGGAAACCTTCCCCAACCTTTCTTAATTCTAATACCTTTCTTCTGTTAATTATTTCCTATTTATCCTGTATATAGCTTGCTTGGTATATATTTGCTTGCATGTTTTGTCCTCTATTATATTGTAAATTCCTTGAGGGCAACGACTGTCTTTTGCCTCTTTTTGTATCCCCAATGATTAGCACAGTGCCTAGAGCACTAGTGTACAAATAAATTGGAGTTTATTGAGGAGGGGTATGACCCCTTAGGCAGTTAATAAATGTTTGACTGATTGATATCAATATTGATATTGATAAATGACCTAGATAAAAAAGGTCTCATCTTAAACAAATTAGAGAGGCAGTGATTAGCACAGTGCCTAGAGCATGAGTGTACCAGCAGAGAGGCAGAAAAGGATATTTCTTTCACACTATGGATAAGGTAAAAGTTCTTAAACAAGCAAGAGACAGAAAGGATTATGGGAGATAAAAACAGACACTTTCGATTACATAAAATTAAAAATTTTCTGAACATACAAAATCAACGCAGTTAGACTTAGAAGGGAAACTAAGGTTAACTAGGAAAAAATTCTTTGGCAAACTTCTCTGATAAAAGTCTAAAGTCTAAGATATATAAGGCACTGATTCAAGTTGATAAGAATGCCAGTCATTTCCCGGCAGATAAAAGATCAAACGACATGAAGACAGTTCATATGGAAAGAAATCCAAGGTATCAAAAATCATATGAAAAAATGTTTCAAGGGGCATCTAGGTGGAGCAGTAGGTAGAGTTCAAATCTGGCCTCAGACACTTCACACTTACTAGCTGTGTGACCTTGGGCAAGTCACTTATCCCTGATTGCCTCACCAAAAAGCAAAAAAAAAAAGTTTCAAATTGTTAATAAGGGAAATGCAAATTAAAACAATTCCAATATTCTACCTCATACCCATGAGATTGGGAAAGATGGGGAATAAAAAGAACAATTGTTAGGGGGTTGTGGGAGGGCAGGTACACTAATGTTCTACTGATTGGGCTATAAGTTGGTCCAACCATTCTGAAAAGTAATTTTGAACTATACCCAAAGTCTTTAAACTATGTATATATACTCTTTGACCCAGCAACGTCTACTACTAGGCTTATGCCCCAAAGAGACCAATGAAAGAAGGAATGGACCTTATGTACAAAGATATTTAAGGAAGACTTTTTTGTTTTGC